CTGGTCCCAAGAGTGTTGATTGTGGAGCCAAGCAAACTAAAGCTGTTAACAATTTCAGTCTCTTCAACATCTATCATGATACTGCCAATTGGCCCAGTGGTGAGAATCTTTGTTTTCTTGATGTTGAGCTTCAATCCATATTGAAGACTGCAGTCCTTGACCTTCTGCGGAGAGATAGGAACTCTTAAACACTGTTGGTGGGATGTACAACCACCTGGAAGGCAGTTTGGCACTTACTCAAAAAGGTGAACATAGAAATTCCATATGACCCAGCTATTCCACTGGTGGGAATATACCGCAAGAAAATGATAACTAAGGAACAAGCAGAGATTTGTACACCAATATTCAGTGTTCATTGTTATTCATAATTACAAGACATGGAAACAGCCCAAATGTCCAACCACAATCACAATCATTTTGAAAATCACTACCTAACTTGGGAGGGACTGGAGAGCATTATGCCAAGTGAATTAGTGCCATAAGGACAAATGCTGTATAAGACCATTATTGTAAAAATAGAAGAATAACTAGTAAAATGTGTATGAGGATCCAAAAGGGGTAGGAGAGCAGAGGGGTGAGGATGGATAAGGGGGTAATCATAGGGTTGCACAGTTTGATGGGTGGAGGAAGGGATGGGTAAAGGAAATGGGAAGACTTCTGTGTGAAAAACAGTGTAACTTTGTAAGCAAACCAGTATAGAATAAAAATTTAAAAAAAAACCAACAAGGGAATGAATCAACAGATATGGCACATCCCTACTACGGAATACCGCTCAGCAAGAGAACTTGAGTGGACCTTAAGGTCATTGTGCTAAGTGGAAAAGCCAACCCAGAAGGTCACAGCTGATTCCTTTTGCATACCATCTCAAAAAGAAGAGATTGTAGTGACAGTGGTTGCCAGGGGCCATGTAGATTGCTATCTCAAAGATTGTTGGTGTATAAACTGTACAGTTTTATATTTTCACTACAGTAATGGTTATGTGACTCTCAACCAGGATAAAATTTCACAAAATAAACATACACACAGGAATGATTAGAAGCTGTTAAGATCTGCAGCTTACTTAATAGCATTATTCCATTGTCAGGTTCTTGGTTTGATAAGATGTCTTCCATGCCAACATCTTGGCTAAATGTTGTGGCTCGAGGAAGCAGAGCGAGGACTTACTGTAGTCCTGCATTCCATGGAAGAAAGATGAAGCATTTGGCTTCTGTCTTAGAAATGCTATGACTGCTCAGCCCTGCCCTGCCGGGTGGCTCTTTGTCAAAATTAGCTCAATGGCAGGGTCTTGAGTGTGAGCCTTAAACAAGGACTTGAGAGATGGTGGAAATGACAGCGGGTGCTCAGAGATCAGGGATTCAGGCTTCTTTTGTTTTGCAGAGTGTGTGGTGGGAAAGTCAACATTAGCTTTGAGTCTTCGGCTCCTGGCTGTGAATTACTGGCTCCCGTGACTTAGAATGAGTGGATCTCTAGTTAAGTATGACAGATAGACTTCATATGTGTTTTGTCTTCTGACACTTCATTAAAATGATGGCAGTAGAATAAAAACAAAATAATAAATCCACAATGCAGAGACCTGGAAAGCCATCACTTGATAACAGGCCTAAAGAAATTTTCAAGACTAGAAGAAATTGGAGAATTTGAGCCAGTAAGTATTGCAGGGTTGAGACCCTGCAGAGGGTTGGGACCAGAGGGCCCCAAAGAGCTGGAATAAGCTGGTGTATGCTAGGTGATGACCTGATCCCAGCCCCAAGGATTCTTATCCTGCTCCAGCCACCACTACAACCAGCAGCAATTTGTGCTTGTTAGACTAGACATTTCATCCTAGCAAATGTTAAGTCAGAGGGCTCTGGACTTAAAAACATCTGCAGAAGATAGAGAAAGTGAGACTTAAAGCTGAAAACAGAGTTCAGTGAAAATTGACCCAGTAAATTGTGACATTCCCAGTCCCCTTCCTGACCTGTTTCCCAAAAGTGGACCACCTGTTAATTGCCTTTCTTAAAATGGTAAGAAAACACTTTTTTCAAAGATCTGCATGGTCATTTGACCTGTTACTACTGTATGTAGACTCTCTGTTTTACATTTTTGCTTTGAATAGTGCCTGAAATCTTAAAAACTTGCTAGATAGTCCAGGATACCACAGTTGGTCTCTACTCTCCTAGAATAGCTGAGGAAGAAAGAGACCTAGGAAGGGGAAAGGAGATGTGCCAGGTCTAGTTGACTCTGTGAACTATTCCCTTCACTGCCATGAGACCAGAAGAATGGAATGGTCCCTGGATACCATTGCCAAACATTGTGGTTTGATCAGGACGCAAGAGGTGAAGTTTGATCAACAGGAAGAAAAATGTGCAGCAGAATTTCACATTTTTACAGGAACCAGGCTTACTAGAATCATTGGGATTGGAGAAACCCCCAAAACTATTGCCCTGAAATGATCTTTAAGCTGAGAACTGAAACTATCCCATGAAGTCAACTTGAAACAACAAATTAGCTCAGTTAGTAAGGAATGGTTGCCTTGAGCAATGCATACTTTAAAGGGTAATATATACAGCATCAAACTGATAACTTTAACTCTACAGCTGACATTAGGGGACACAGAGCCTAAGTTAATTGATGAAACAGTTTTTATTATTCTTGTGTGCCAAGTAGTTGCAGCCTGACTCATAGCTGACCCTCCAGTGAATTTTCAGAGGCAGTGTAATCACTAGGCAGGAGAGTGCTCATCTTTCTTCCATAGAGCAGCTGGGGTATTTGAACCGCATGCATTTCCAGCTGGCCTTTGAGTTGGCAGTGCAGCGCCTTTCCAACAGGCCATCAGACTTCCCATGCTCTATAAACTTTCATCCAAATCACAATAAAGATAGAAAAATTAAAAAAAAATAAGTAGAGACATCAAGAATGATGATACAGTGTAACCACTGTCATTTAACTATACTTATAGAAAATGATGAATGAAAGTTTTATTATGTATATTTTCATGTAACATGGCTCCTGGTTACTGCCCTAGGACTAGTTCTACAACAGCTGACTTGCTGTCCAGGTACTCTACAGTGAAGCTTAGTAGTCAGCAAGCACCCTATCCCCTTACCTACTCCCATTTAGCCAAAATTTTAGGGCTTTACTTCTAAATACAAACTGATAGAAAGATAGAGGGCTAACAAGCAATGAAAAGAGATAATATGGGGGAACTGGAAGAAACACTAAAATGACAAAATTCCTATATTAAGATTAAGATATGGTACCTGTAAAACAAGAACAGAATACTTTTTAAAAGGAACAATTGGAAAACTTGAAAGCACTCTCAGGAATTAAAGATAGGTTATCAAGAGTTTAAAAACATAAAGGTTGAAATGTAAACTTGAGAATATCTATCAAAGATACAGGGCAAAACACCAAAAGTGAAAAACGAGAGGCCATGGAAAAAGACAATTAAATAATAAGCCTAAAGAATAAAATCCTAGCCAGAGTTCCAAAAAGTTTGACGAAGCTAAATGACTTAACATTTTTAAACCTGAAGATCCTAATTTTCCATATGGATATCCTCCTTTGAGTGGCCAGTAAAAAATTATTTTTTTCAAATAGCCATATTGAGACAGACCATTCATTCATATAACTGCAAAACAAGGCTTAAGAGAAAACTTCTAGCATTAAGCAGACAAGAAAAAAAAAGTCACTCACAAAGGGAAATGACAAAATTGAATACTAATTCAATGGGGATTAATTTTATAAAGCACAATATATGGGAATGATTAATTAATGATTAAGTAAATTAATTTTATAAAGGACAGTGTATGGGAATGTGTCTAAGACACAAAGTGAATAAAGGAAAGTAAAGCACAATGTATACAAATTTTGTATGCAAACCAGTATGTTGCTTGTAAGTGCTGTTGAGTCAAGCACGACTCATAGTGACCCTATGAACAGAAGACCTGAACACTGTTCTATGACTGTTAGAGTTTTTCTAAGTTCATAGAGTTTCCAGAGGCATGCTGTCTAGGAAGTAGATGCTACTTCTACTTCCAAGCTTGTCTTAATCTGGGAGCTCCACCAAACACTGTCCACCATGGGTAACCATTGTGGCATTTGACATACTAGTGGCACAATGTTCAGTATCACAGTAACCCCAAGTTACCTCAGTACAGCAAATTGATAGACCAGTGCCGAACCACTTAAAACAGTGTTCATTCCAAACATAGTTAATACCAGGCCCTGATAGGCTCTAAACAAGAACCTTCCACCCACAGCTCATTGATAGCCAAATACAGCAAATCCAATTATCTCACACACGGTTGTGAACAAAATAAAACCAAACAGTCCACACATGAGCCTCCAAATTGAAGACTCAGCCAATTTAAAAATCTCTATAAAAACCCCAAAAGACAATGGATTAATATCTTTAAAATTCTAAGGGAAAATAATAGTCTTTTTTAATCTGTACTACCCTCCCCAGCAAAATAACAACTAAAAGTCAAAATGAAAGTTTCAGACATAGAGAACTCTGGCACATCAGACCTTAGAACATTCCTGGAGGGTAACCTCCAGCAAACAGGAATTAGCCAAGAGAGAGGAAGACTGGGTCTAGCTTAGCAGGGCTGTCACCCAGGAAACAAGAAAGAGGTCAAACATGAGGCAAGCTGAGACAAGAGCCAGGCTAAGGAGAACAGCAAAAGGTCATTTGGGGAAGTTCTGGGGGAAATGAGATCTCAAGATTAGTTGACAGTTTCATATATACAGTAATAATGTAATGTCTCCAGTAGATCTTATGGCATGAATAGAAAAATATTTAGACACGAGGGAAAAAACCGAAAGTACACAACTAAGCATGTGTGGGGGTGTGTGTGAATGAAACCATTACTAATCCTAGGAAAAACAGAAATATGCACAAAGAAAGAAAATGTAATTCTTAGTACATTCCTTGCATTGTAGTGACCAGTATTTACTAATTAAGCCATTTTTAACACTGGTTTGATTTGCAAAAAAACCCCCCTGATTATCTAAGGAATATGGTAGAAGAGAGAGTGGTAACAATATGAATAGAAAGCCAGGTGGTTGTTGTTAGGTGCCAGGTTGACTATGATTCACAGTGACCATATGAATAAAAAAAATCACAACCAAAGTTGAGAAAATGATAAATAGTACAGCCATATTTGATAAACTTAGGTGTAGCTAAAACAAAATATCTAGAAAATATCTGTCAGATTGATGGCTGAAACAAAGCAGGCAGCTGATTAGGCACTTGTTTCTTAAGGCTAGAATGAGAGCCATTAGCCTACTTAAACCCAAGAGGGAGTTAGCTTCTGGGGCTATAGTCCCTGTAGGGTAGTGTTTGACAACAGAGAGAAGACAGTCTGCAGTTTGATCCATTTATAGTAGGTTCTGGGCAGCCCTCAGGCAGCTGGAGAACTGCCAGGGTGACATGCACCTGGCTACAGGTGAGCACTTTGCACCATCAGGTAGGAAATGTGTGCTATTAATTATTTTTAAATCCATTGCTTTATGTACTATTAGACACATATTGGTCTGCTTGGCTGTAGAATGACACAATTTAAAGATGACTTGTTGCTTTCATTAATTTGTTTATTTATTATTGTGTGGGTTTGTTTTTGGTTGGTTTTTTTTCAGAATGTTATGGAACAATTCAATCCTGGCCTGCGAAATCTAATAAACCTAGGAAAAAATTATGAAAAAGCTGTCAATGGTAAGTCTTTCTGTTTCGTAAATTTCTAAACGTTAAGCAGTAAGAAAGCTTTTCCTGTATATACTTAAATTATTTTATATACTTTAATATTTAATTTTTAAAGTATGTTTAAATTGGTTAAAATTATGATTTCTAGAAATTTGCAAATCATTGCAAGAAAAATGTATGTGAACCGAGAAAATTAGATAATAAAATATTGAGCTATCAAATCATGCTTTGGAACTTGGTTTAGTTTTTTCATTGTTACTTTAAGCAATGATACTTCTGAGTCAAATTTTAAAACCAAATTGTATGTGAACTAATAGATTATTAAAATGTGTTCTTTAGTGTTCTTTAAATACTTGCATTATTTGTTATATCCTGCTACATAGAAATTCTTCTTGATTTAGAATTTCTTGCTCTTAACTGTATTACTTTTAATAGAATATTTTTAGCTGAGTTGTAAAATTAATATCCTCCTATCAGTGTCTCTTTCAAAATGAATTAGAATCTTGTTGTTTGACTCTTTGTGAACTGCAGTTTTTTGCTAGTTTATTCAGATTTCATTTGAGAAGGCTGATACTTGCGTATCCATAGTAAAAGGTGAATGCTGTAGACATCAACCATTGGGTCCCCTGGAAAACAAAAAAGCTTATAGTTTCCAACTTTTGCAGCCTTGAAACCATTCTCCCATGTAAGGACTGTTAACTTCCAAATATTCTGATCCCGTTTCACCTTCTACCCCAGTTTACTGGAACCACCAATCAATGTAAATGGAAATGGTAGTTTCTAACGGTTTAAGATGTGAAAAGGAGCTCAGATCCAGTTGTGTGGTTTTTCAGATTTTTTATTTGTCCCTTTCTTCATCTCATACCTTGGGCACTCCCTGATGATATTTTGAAAACAAACCCGTGGCCTTGCACACCCTCCTCCTGAACCTGCCCAGGGAAGGGTGTGGGCTGGGCAGACCTTGGACAAGAAGGACAGGAGCTGTAATCATTGGAAAGTAAGCAGCATATTGACTTTCTTTCTGGCTTGCTGGGTGATTGCCAGCCAGAGGATCACCAGGCTGTGCAGCAGGCCAGGGGTTTTCCTGCCTACCTGCCCTCCAGCGTTGCCAGTGCCTGGCCTCCAGGAGCAGTGGGTTGCTTCCCGTGGCCTGCATTGCTGCCGCCTCCTCCCCATGGCTAGTAAACCACAGGGATACAAAGCCATTGCTTTAGATGTCCCCCGGAAAGAAATCACTGTGACCTGCATTGTGTCTCTCTATTTTGAGCTGCTTCTCTCTGCATAGAATGCTTAGAAGATGAGTTACCAAAGTGCCTACAACTTAGCCTCTTGCTCACAAGGTTATTCTCCAGAGAGTTCTGTGCCACGTCTTTGGTCTCTCTCTCTCCCCCTGCCCCCCCTTCTTCTTCTCTTGATGTGTACTGTCAAATCAGATCCAGCTGGCACAGAGGAAATTTCTCCTTCTCCAGCAGAGCATCTGGTGGATTTAAACTACGTGCCTTTGGGATTTCAGTGCAGCTTCTTGCCACTAGGCCACCAGAGCTCCACATGTCTTTGGCCTCTTGTCACTGTGACACCTCCTGAGTATTATTCTGCAGGCCATAAAGCTTACCTGGAGGTTTTGTGGGCTATCTGGTTTTGCTTCTACTGAAGCCATTGAGAAATTTATATCTGTAAATTTAAATCTGTATATTTGTGTACCAAGTGTGGGTAGTAGATTCAGAAACCCAAAGCTGCTAAGACTGTAGTAAACCCACCCTTCACTTACCAACATAGATTCTAAAGACCAGATTATTATGCAAAAATTGGTGTTTAAAAATGAGGTGGGGATACATCATTATGTAACTTCCAGATTACCTGCCAAAGCACTGAGAATCATGATCCAGCCAAGTTGACACACAGCCTTTGCCATCACAGCAAGTACTATCACTGTATGCCTTGGCATTCATTACTGACAGTTTTATATCATTAGTATGCAAAGTAGAGAGTAGACTTGTTTACTATTGTAAATAGCAGATAGCAAGATAATTGTATGTGAGGAGAAGGTATAGAGCGGAAGATTCCAGATGTGCAGTCTGCAGTAAAAGCACAGGGCATTATGTGAATTAGCCTAGCAACAAGACTGGAATGGGTCAGTGTGACAGGAATTGGAGCAAAGGAGATGTGCAGGATGGAGCAGCCAGGGACTGGTAGGAGCAGAGCTAGCTGACAGACTCAGATGGCAGAGACTGAGAACAAGTGCCTCAGGCGGAAGAGCCAGCCCCCAGGTCCAGACCACCATCCCCACAGACATGGGGAGATGGTATTGGGGAATAGTATAACATAAGATGGAAGAGGACTAGGTCCTGTTAATGCGTTTAAAAGCCACATCACTTATCTGTTACTATAGAACACACTGTCCCCAAGCATGATGGCTTAAAACAAGTTATTTTAGTCATAAGAGTCCTTGAGGCTCACTCTTGGAGCTGCACTCAACTGGGGTCTCAGTAAAGTCGATGGCTGAGCTTGCTTACACTTGCCTCATGGGGTCTTTTCCATCTAAAAGAGGCCTCACTAGGTCCTAAGGCATGGTAGTAGCATTCTAAGAGTGAGTCTCCGTGCACATCTTTGACCAGACCACTGGGAGTCATACCTGCTGATGACCCATTGGCCAAAGCAAGCCATCTGACCAATGCCAGGAGTGTAGTAGGGGCTGGGAGCTGTGGGAGATGAGGTTCATGAAGGCCATCTTTGTGGAAATCTCCCCCAGTTCTGAGGGTGTGGATTTGCCCATCAGCCATGGGAGGACAGTGAAGATTTTGAGCAGAACAAAAACCTGGTGAAAGTTTATCAAGGGAAAAAAGTTTTGGCAGAAGGATGTAGATTAGATTGAAGTAGTTGATCAACCATTAATATACAACTGAAATGTTTCATGTCATTACCAAAAGTAATAAGTGGTAGAAAATCTCCTAAGGTGCTTGCAAAAAGAAGCAGAATTACTCTGTATTAGTTTCTAATAAATTATGTGCTTTTAAGTTAATTCAGCTTTATCATAAAAGCAAGATACTTTCCTAAACTTGAAAAAGTTAAATGATTTTTAAATGTAAGTCAGCAATCCTGAAAAAAATTCAGTTTAATGGTTGGATGCAAACCAGAAATGTTATTTAAATATTGTGTAATCTTGCATACCATCCTCCCACTCCATTTGCTTTTCAGCTTATCTGTGCCTTAAGATTTTAAATCCTTGCCCTGGTACATTGCAGATACTCTCTTGGCAGTTTCTGCTGAATACGCATCCTGCTTTGGGTGATGCCATCTCTTTTGATGGGGGGGGGGCGGGGGAGGGGAAGAGCAAAGCACCAGGCATTAGAGCTGAGCAGGTGATAGACCAGTGCTGCACATACCACCCGTGACTCTACCAGCCTTGGGCATGTCCACGGTATCTCTGCTGTCTTCTGGTGACACAGGATGATAACATTCCTCCTGTCTCAGGACTGTCAGATAGATGAACTAAGGCAAGCCATGACCCTGAAGGGTCGACTTGCATGCTAATTACTGCTGTTCTTTCTGTTGATCACACTGGAACATGATTGTCAGTCACAGCAGTGTCACATCACACCACAGTTCCTAGAGTAGAGCTCTCAGGAAAAGCAATACCATTGATAATTTCTCAAACTACTGTAGATACTGAAATAAATTAATGCAGCATAAAAATACTAAGTTTTGGCCTGCAGTACCTTCAGCAAGGCCTGGATATAAATTCCTTCCCCTGTCAGCAGTGAGAGGTCAGTGATAGTTCTTGAGTAGAATAGTCACCCAATGAAATATTTTTTAAAGGACATTTTTCTAACCATATAGGTAGATTATATTGATGAAGTAGTGGATCGACTGTTAAAATAGAACTAAGGTGTTTCATTTTATTCCTTAAAACAATCAACCAAAAAAGCTCCCTGCTGTCAAGATTTACACTCATAATCTTTATCACAGTGGGACTGCTCTAATGTGCTGAAGAACACTACTCAGTAGAATTGCCCCATAGACTTTCCAAGGCTGTAAATCTTTACTATTGTATCTTTCTCCTACAAAACAGCTGATGGGTTCTGATGTTTTCATAACCATTGTCACCAGGGCACCTTCCTTAAATAAAACACTACTCAAACTAGCTGATGCTCCAGTGAATTTTTTTTTAAATTTTATTTTATTATTTTTTTATGTGTGTACCGTCAAGTTGGATCTGACTGGTACAGGAGGAGATTGTCCCTCCTTCTCCAGCAGAGCATCTGGTGGATTCAAACCACGCGCCTCTGGGATTGCAGTGTAGCTTTTTGGCACTAGGCCACTAGAGCTCACTGCCAGTGAATTTTTGTTGTTATTAGGTGGTGTCATACAGTGAACAACAGATCTGAACCCTGTCCTATTCTGTGCCATCTTCATTGTCTCTGACACACCTGAGCCCACTACTGCTGTCACCATGTCAATCCATCTCACTGAAGGTCTCCCTCTCCTTCTTGTATTCTCCACCTTCACAAGCATGCCATCCCTTTCCAAGGAATAGCCTCTCTGAGCAACATCCCCAAAGTGTGAGAGATGAAACTTCACCATTCTTGCCTCCAAGAAGCACTCTGGAAGCACTTTTTCCAAGACATATCTGTTTGTTTTTGCAGTCTGAGATAATTCAGTGCTCTTCAAAGTGACAGTTCAAAAGCATCTGTTCTTCTGTTACCCTTATCCATTGTCCAGTTCTCAGATGCAAAACAAGTAATTGAAAAGACCATGACCTGAATCAGACACCTATTAGTCTTCAAACCAACATCACTCCTTCTCCCTATTTTGGAGAAGTCCCTGACAGTGAACTTTCCCAGGGTGGTATATCTTCTGATCTCCTGACTGCTGGTACCACAGGTGTTGATTGTGGATCCATGTAACACAAGATTAAATCATTAACAGTTTCATTCTTTTCTCTGTCATAATGTTGCTTATCGGTTCAGTGGTGAGGATTTTTGTCGTCTTGATGTTGAAATGCAATCCATATTGAAAGCTGTAGTCTTTGATCTTCAGCAAGTGTTTTCAAGTCTTCCACACTTTGACTATCAAGGTTGTGTCATCCACATAACGGAGGTTGCTAAGTCTTCCTCCTGTCTTGATGCCACATACTTCTTCACAGAATCCAGTTTCTCAAATGATTTGTTCAGTGTACAGAATAAATGCTGTTCTTGTTTACCATCGAATCAGAACCAACCCATAGCTGACCCTTCAGTGGGTGTTCAGAAGCAATTAATTGCACAGGAGGACATTGTCCATTCTTGTCCCACGGAGCAGCTTAAATGAACTGCATGCCTTCAGCATTGCAAGGCAACTTCTTGCCACTAGGCCACCAGAGCTTCCTATAGAGTGAATAAGTGTAGAAAAAGAATACTACCCTGATGCATACCTTTTCTAATTTTAAAACATGAAGTGTTCCCTTCATTTGGATGAGAGCTTCTTGGTTTCATATGAGCATAATTAAGTGTTCCAGGATTCCCATTCTTCTCAATATTAGGCATAGTTTGTTATCCACACAGTCAGATACCCTTGCATAGTCACTAAAACATAAATAGACATACTCCTGATATTCTTTGTTTTCCGCTAGGATCCATCTGATAAGTAGCAGTGAGATCCCTGGTGCTACAACCTCAGTACTGTTGTAGCTGTTTTTGGATCATCTTCAACAATATCTTGGTTGCATATGATATTAATTGTTCAATAATTTCTACATTCTATTAGATAGATCATGCCTTCTTGAGATTGGGAACAAATATGGATCTCTTAACAGTCAGTTGACCAAGCAGCTGCCTTCAAATTTCCTGGCATAGACTGATGAACACATCCAGGGCTGCATTTGTCACTTGAAACATCATTTTAGTAGTCCATCAGTTCCTAGGGCCTTATTTTGTTGCCAGTTCTTTCAATGTAGTTTGAACTTCTTCCTTCATTACCATTGGCTTTTTTTCATATAATACTTACTGAAATTTTTCAGTGTCAACTAATTCTTTTTGGTTTCATAAATTTTTTCCTTTAATTTGTTGCTGCACATTTCTCCCCCTCTCCCAGCCCGCCCTTTCATGCACTCCTTGTTCCAGATTGTTTTCATACATATAATGCACAATCCTATTCCTTTCAGATAGTTCTTCCCCTCATCTGTTCTAATGCAGTGTTCCATGATCTATCCTCTCTTTCTCCATACTCCCCAATCTGTCCTAATTTATAACAGTGGTGGTATGCAGTATTACTCCTTTTGTAACAGATATTTCACTTAGCATAATGTCCTCAAGGCTCTCCCATGTTGTGTAATGTTTTACTATTTCATTGTTTTTCACTTCTGTGTAGAATTACGTTGTATGGGTGCACTATGATTTCTGTCCATTCATTTATTGATGAGCACTTGGGTTGCTTCCATCTCTTTGCTGTTGTGACTAATGCCCCAGTAAACATAGGTGTGCATACATCTGTTGGAGTTGTGGCTCTGGTTTCTTTAGGGTATATTCCTAGTAGTGGAATTTCTGGGTCAAATGGTATTTGTTTTTAACTTTTTGAGAAAGTGCCAGACCACCTTCCATAGTGCTTGCATCATTTTACATTCCTACCAGCAGTGAATAAGATTTCCAATCTCTCTACAATCTTGCCAACATTTGTTGTTTGAACCAATTCTAGTGATAGTATGTATTCCTTCCATCTCTTTTTGATGCTTCCTAAATCATTCAAGATTTTATCCATATCATCTCTCAATATTGCAACTTGAGGCTTGAATTAGTATTTCAGTTTTAGAAATGTTGAATGAGCTCTTCCCTTTTTATTCTCTAGCTCCAGTTCTTTGTACATTCCATTCTAATACTTTGTCTTTTCGAGCTGCCCTTTGAAATCTTTTGTTCATCTCTCTTACTACTTGACACTCTAGTGCCATTTTCACAGTCTTTTCTGACATTCATTTTGGTAATTTTTTTCTCTTCTGTCTTTGTAACAACCTTTTGTTCTCTTCATAGATATCTTTCATTTCATCCTATTAACTCCTCTGGCATTCAATCATTAGTTTTTAATGCCTCAAACCTATTCTGAAGATGATTTTTGAGGTTTGGAAGACTATAAATTCCATGGGAGGAAATTGCCCATCTTTTTTCTGAGGAGGTACTTGTGGATTTGAACCAGGAGAGAGGTGCCACCTTTGGGTTAGGAGCACAGCTTTCTACAGACTCTGCTCATAGAGCTCCCTTAAAACAACTGATGGTTGTCAATTCTTTTTATCTGTTTAAAAGGGAAAGGGGAGAAGGCATGTGGAAGAAGGAAGAGAAAATTACTAGACAGAGATTAGTTTGGAGATGTGAGGTGAAGAAGTAGGTAAGATGCAAAGGGGACTTGAGGAGAAAGGGAGTTATAAGTAACAGATCAATAATAAGTAGTTCTATAAAGTACAGTGTACAGAAATGATTGGAATAAAATGTACATGCATGGAATAATATATATGAATAATTGCATAAAAGTGACTGATGGTGTAAATAATAAATTTTAAAATTAAAAAATATCCACCTATTTTAAAGTAGGTTTTTTTTCCGCAAAGCAACTGCTTTTTCTCCACATGAATGGAAGGGCCCTGATTCCCGAGGACCCCTTTAGAATCCATCCTGTATAGTAATATGTTGGACTGCAAACAAAAGGTCAGCAGTTCAAACCCACCAGCTGCTCTGTGGGAGAAAGATGAAGCAGTCCACTTCTACAAAGATTCACAACCACAGACCCATGGGGTTTCTCTGTCCTGTAGGGACTGTGAACTTACTTTTTATGATTTGAAGGCTTTTTTAGCATCAAAACCCCATGGTCTCCCAAACCATAGGAGAAACATGTATGCAACTAATCTTTGAGTAAAGTCAATAAAATGAGTATTATTTCTCCAAAACTACACTGAAAAATAGGCTAGATCTTAGTGAAAAGCTTGTTTACCATGTACCTTTAGGCTGATTTGTTAAGGGTTTGTTGTTTTTTTTTTTAAAAAAGCTTGAGATTAGCAACTGCCATTTGTCTGTTTGGTGCTCACATTATTATTTCATATATTAGATCTTTGGTTGTAGGTGCATAAATTAAAGATCTCTTAATACCAGCACTCAGGAAATCAGAAGATGAATTGTATTGGGAAAACCTGTCATGGACCTCTCCAGAGTGCTGAAGAGCAACGATGTCAGTCTAGATACAGAGATGCACCTAATCCAGGCCCTGGTTTTCTCAATTACTTGTTATGCTTCAGAGAGTTAGATTATGACTAAGGATGACAGAAGAAGAATAGATGCCTTCGGAGTTGTCTTGCTGGAAAAGAGCCAAGAAAACAAATAGATCTTTCTTGGAGAGGGTGAAACCAAGTCTCCTTGGAGCTAGGATTTTAAAGCTCTGCCTCACTTGCTTTGGGCACGTGGCCAGGAGAGATCAGTCCTTGGAGAAGGACACCATGCTCGGAAGGGTGGATGGACAGCGCAGGAGAGGGAGACACCAAATGAGATGAATTGATACAGTAACTGGGGCAATGGGAGTTGGTGTGTCAGAATTAGTGAGACTGGCTCAGGACAGGGAAGGGTTCACAGCTGCTGTACATAAGGTCGCTATGCATCACAGGCTACTCAACCAATAACATTCTATGACAGGTTTGGAAGCAGGAGTGTCAACCACTTCCTAAACAACCTATGTCTGGAAACTCTATGAACTTTGATAAATGTCGATGGTTGTAGAGGGGCTTTGGGCCTTTTGTTCATGGGGTTGCTATGAGTTGTGCTCAACTTGAAGGCAATCAGCAACAACAAAGAGATCTGTATTCAGAAAGACTAAGTAAGTAGTTCACCCTGAGCCCATGTAGTTAGAAGCAAGGGTTTTTCATGAATACACTCAGGTCTTTCTTGAAAAGCAAAGAAATTCAAAGCAGATTCCTGAACCTTATAATTGAGTCCTCCAAATCTGTGTGAGAGACAAAATACTGTTGATAAGGTGAGTAGACCTCAGCTGATAGATCTCAGCAGTATTGCCAGTTTATCTCCACACCACAACAGCAAGCTGTGTGTTATGGTCAAATGGGTTCCCAGTGCACAGAAGGATCATACTCACATGTGCTACAGTCTCGGAAGTGTGCAAAAATAGCTGATGGAAAAGTTTCAGATAGTGTTTGAAAGAATGGCACAGATATGACCCAGAGACACAAAGTGAGCACATGCTATTGGAGAAATCCTGCCCCCAATTTGCTTCCTTGCTGTTCCTGCTTAAGTGATTATTTTGTACATGTCATCCCTCCCTGTCTAGCTATGATCCTGGCGGGGAAAGCCTACTACGATGGAGTGGCCAAGATCGGCGAGATTGCCACCGGTTCCCCCGTGTCGACCGAGCTGGGTAAGCAGACTTCAGTCCACTGTACATCGGCCCCATGAAAGCCAAGGATCTCTTCACCACATGGCCGTGGTGAGGGTGGGTGAGGCTGCCTGTTCTCTGGCACAGGAAGGAGAGCTGGGCCAGAAATCCAGTTCACTGCAACGACAACTAAGCTCCCTGTCTGAATCAGCTGGAGGACAGCTGTGCAGGCTGTGGCAGGAGATCCTCTGAGGCAGGCCTGCTCTGCTAGAGGCTGCTCACCAGAGTCCAGAGAGCCTTGCCCACATCCTTAACTGGAAGAGGTGTGCCCCAAGCCTGCAGCCTGCCGTGTGGCAGTGTGTCTTGTGACTCATCGAGCAGGAAAGCTTGGCAGTGATTTTTCCGGTTCTGCTGGTCTGAATGAGGCTCCTGTGTGGACACAGTGAACCATCGCCCTGGCTGTGAGCCTCCAGTCTGCAGAGAGTCAGTACATTGTCACTGTCTGGAGGGTTGGGGGTGGAGTCATCCTGCACATCACCCCCAATGCAGAAGTCTGTGGAAAGGGTTTCACTGCACGGTGGGCAAAGTTCCTGCCTTACTGGTGTTTGTCCTGATTTGAAAAGTGCCAGAAATCAGGGAGGAAAGAATGGCTGGGCTTATGTGGTCTAAGGAAAAACACATCTACCTACTAAAAAGCAGAAGGGGAGGCAAAGGGAGAGCGCTCAGGGTCAAAAAGAGTCCACACCATTGCCACAGAAATGATTTTGAGGGCCTTTCAAGATTTCTTGGAAGACTCCTCTTCACTGATCCATAAAAGCCGAGGTACAAAGCGGAGGAGGTGGTGGGGCAGGCTGCCTGAGTTGTGGAGGGCCGTGTTCTTAGCAGTGTTCTTCACCCTCTTTTATACTGGAATCATGTGTAAAAGGATCATGAAACAAGTATACTGCACTGACGTTAAGCCGTGTGGTGGGCAAGTTAGCACTGCTGTATTCAATACACTGGGTTACCTGTAGGTGTTTCCCAGAGGCCCCACTTGTGCTAAGTTGGGGCCAGGACCTTAGGAAGGCCTGAACTATAAGGACTCAGTTCTGAGCATGACTGAAAGCAGTAAAGTATAGGCTACGTCACATAGAAGGAAGCAGATAGTAACACTCAGTACATTGAGGGGAGTGGTTGCGATGATTATAGGTTTCCAAAAATAGGACCAAGTTGAAAAGAAATGTCTTATTTGTGTCAAGCATGGAGGATTGGGGGTGGGGAAGAGTCTGGCCCTTCCATTAAAGCATCTGGTGCTCTGACTCAGTCCCATTCAGTGTGCCTGTTTAATGTTTTATGGTCATGTCACTGTTTAAATAAGACCTGTTCTTAAGCTGTCCCACACCTTACTTTATTCAGCTGTGAGTTCATAGTGTTGAATCAACTCTTCCCACAGCAACACGGTTGTTATAAACACGGGCTTAAAACATCAGCTTCAAGAGGGGAGAGACGTTGCCATGTCCATTTCTTTGCTGTAGATAAATATTTTATTCAGTAAGAGGGAAATAACACATGCTGTTGTGCTTTATTTTTCTTTCAAATTTTCCTTCAGCCTATATTTGTCCCTCAACCCATAACCTCTTGCTACCAAGTTGATTCAATGGTGACCCCATGTCTTAAGAATAGATCTCTGTAGGGTTTTCTTGGCTCTCTAAATCTTTAAAAAGTGGGTACCCAAGCCTTTGTTTCACAGCATCTCTGTATTTGAACCACCAACCTTAGTTGTCATGTGCCATTAGCAGATTGTAACTCAGGACCAGAACAGAACTGCCCCACAGGATTTCCTAAACTGTCATCTTTATGGGAGCAGACTGCCATCTCTCTCCCACGGGCAGCTGGGTAAGTTCAAACCACAGGCCTTTTTTAGCAGCTGCATGCTTTCTAGCACCAGGCTCCTCCTAGCCTCGGTATTTGAGCACAAACCATCTGTGCTATCCAAGGACCTAGATTCGTATTACATAGAGCGCTGAGTGTTTCTGCTCCCCTTTACAGCAATTTCATGATGAAATGCTCTTTAAGTAGAGTTGATTTTGTTGCTGTTGTTATCTGTCTCCCAGTATGAAGCGTACGTTGAGTGCATAACAACCCTATGAACCGCAGATCTCAACCCTGTCTGTCCTGCACCATCCTCAGCATCCCTGACATAACTAAGCTCATTGCTGCCATCACTGTCAGTCCATCTCATGAGAGTCTTCCTCTGTTTCACTGACCCTGGTGCCTTTGAGTTGTAGCGTTGGAGAAAATTTGCTTTTGGAGGCCTACTCTTAACTTTTAAAAATTTAGTTTGTTATTAAGGGTTAAGCTAAACTACTATTCTTTTTCTAAACTCTGTGTAGAAGAATAGTGGGCAGTACATAGAAGACTTGAGGTGGGGTTTATTTTTCTAGTAATTGTGTTATCTTATCTACTTACTACCTGGTGGCTTCATGGTAAAGAGTCACATTGCCAACCCAAAGGCCCGCAGTTAGAATACACCAATTGCTCCTCAGGAGAAAGTTGGGCCATCTCCTCTGGTGAGATTACTGCCTCTGAAAACGCTGCTGGAGGGTCAGCCATGGGTCAGTTTCAACTCAGTGGTATATCACCACCACCACCTTTGGCATCGGTGTTCACAACTTCATTCTGAAATGTATAAATTCCACCTGAAGAAGTTGAAAGAGTTAAGTATGTGAAGATCACAGAATCATTTCAAGAATCTCATCATTTTGTTGTCTGAAAAACCGACCTCTTCTCATTTAAAAGTTTTAAATTTTTCAGATTTTTCCAGTTAAAAATTTTGCTTTTGGAGGAAAGAGATGCTGGAGAGTTCTTATTTAGAAAATGTGTTTAAAATATACATAGTAAAGCCTATATCATTTCAACCATTTCTACATCAATTCATTGACATTGGTGACATTCTTCACTTTGTGCAACCATTCTCACTATCCTTCCACATCATGAACTCATTGCCCCCAAACAAAAGCTTCCTCTTCCCCCACCTGCCCATTCCTGTGTTGTGTGCCGTGAGCCGGAACCAACCCATAGTTGACCCTCCAGCAGGTTTCAAGAGGCAGTTAATTGCACAGGAGATTGCTATCCTGCTCCTGCAGATCCTCCTCCTGGTAGCAAGGATCAGAACGTCATTTCTCATTGCAGTTGACTCCTGTTCCCTGTGGGGACTGACCATGTTTACTTTATCCACTCTGCTCTTGATGAGCATGTAGGCTGTTTCCACATCTGGCTGCTGTGAAAAGCCCTGTAGTGAACACTGATAGAGAAATTCTGTTTGTGTCCCTCCCATCACTACTTCTTCATATCTCTGGTGACCTCGCTGGTAAGGAGTTGCACTGCCAACCTAAACATAGACAGTCCAAACTCACCAGCAGCTCTGAGGGGGGAGACGGTCTCCTCCCATGTGATTTACAGCCTCTGAGTATTCAGTTAGTTATCACCAAGCTTCCTGGTTATTTCTTCATGAGCCCAAGGTGGGTGCCATTGCTTATTCACCACCTCTCACTTATGTCTAAAAGCAGGAAGTGGCATGTCTTCTTAGGTGTGCATCTCATGCCCTGTTGCTGGATTTATATAACCTGTCCATGCCTCCAACAGTCCTGGTGGTACAGTGGTTCAGGGAGGCCAGAAGTTTGGTGTTCCAGACTCACCAGCCACTCTTCAGGAGAAAGACGAGGCAGTCTGCTTCCACAGCAATTTACGACCTTAAACACAATATGGGCAGGTCATTTGTGTCTCAGGTCACTGTGAGTCAATCAGCTTAGGGGCAGCAGGTCCCTGAAAGCCTTCTCCAGCCTTGTTAGCATAGGAATATGGCCAGGGGGAGAGGACAAGGCTACTGGAAAGACCTTAGTGACACAACCACACTGTTCACCTGGTGGGAAAGATGTTGCTCTGGTGACCAGCTGATGTGTGAAAGGACTTGGACAGATATTCTCGCTTAGCTGTGCCTGGGTCTGCATAGTGCTTGTGCTTTGCATGTCTCTGTTTGGAATGGAAACACAGAGCGATGTGCTGTTTCATTACTATATATGTACTGCAAGCTTTATCATTCTTTCTCTTGAACTCTTCTCCTTCCCCACTCAGAACACCATAGCATCTTTTCTAGTCATCTAGTGTTTTTATGTGGAAAATGGCAATGAGGACAGAGGAAGAATTAGGAGTGTTAACATTGTTTGTTTTCTGTTCCTGTGTTTCTTTTTCCAAGCCTTTGGCTCCTTCAGTGTATTTTTCTTGCTCTGTCCCTATGCTTCTGCCTCTCCTTTCCTTTTCCTCTTATCTTCCTCCCAGCAACAGTCATTTCAGTTGTGACCTCATGTCCTCATTATTGAAAATGTGGGTGGAGGTTCTCCAGCTTGTTCTGCACTGTCTGAGCCGTTCTAGGATCTGATCCTTATCGATTTAAGAGTTGGCCTACCAGTTTCCACCAGGACAAGTGCAGTAAAAACCTGGCGGGATTTCTTCTAAGACCACATTGAATTTGTAGCTGAGTTTAATAATACTAATTTTTCTAATCCCATGGACTACCAAAAGAACAAACAGATGTGTCTTAGAGAAGGTGCAGCCAGCATACTTCTTGGAGGCAAACGTGATGAAGCTTTCTTTATCTCACATACTTTGGCTGTGTTGCTAGGAAAGCTAATTCTTTGGAGAGGGACATTGTGCTTGTAAAGGTGGAGAGATAGCAAAGGAGAGGAAGACCTTCAACCACATGGATTGACAACAGTGACTTCAGCAATGGGCTTGAGCATGCCAGAAATGGTGAGGATGGCTCAGGATAGAACAGGGTTCTGATGTGTTGTGCATTGGTCACTGTGACTCACACTTGTGCTTGATGGCACCTAACAACAACAATCCCGAATGGCATTTAATCGGGCAGCCTTTTTGTCTGTAATACAGACGTTCACCATGAGTTGGAAATGGCTTGGTGGCAGCTAATAACAGCAATTCACGAATAATGGAATTTATTTGGAATTTCTTCCATATTTGTCACCACAGTTTGGCATAGCGGCTTT